GTCAATAGTGTCTGAGGATTCTACCTCTAAGGTGATAGTCTTACCAGTTAAAGTCTTGACAAAAATTTGCATTTCCGATGTGCTAACTAGATATATTCACTGGATATATTGATTAAATATTCTTTATAAAAATCTTATTGTATTTTGTAATGGTGTGTTGTTTCAGTGAGTGGCAATTTTCTCCCTTATATAGCCCCTATAACACTACTGGTCACCGGGCCTCTCTCGGTCAGCTCGTTTCCTAATTAAGTAATCATAGAACAAAAAGAAATTTTGTTCTTGCAATCAAAGTGCGATAGCAGGCTGAACAGCAGACAACAGCCGCATCTCACTTAAAAACCAGAGCAATAGGAGTCATTGACAGCCCTTGATCAGACATTAGCTATGATTGTTCGATTGGAATAGAAACATCAGATGAGTAAGCTAGATCCTACGTTTCTCGCTATTCATTTCCACGCTCTTGCCAATATGCAAGAGTCATATTTGACACAAGTTATAGACGCCACTGACCGGTTTCCCGGCCAAAGATTGAGACTGGAAACATGAAGAAAAAGAAATTTAGACACAAGAAAGTCAAGTTAAAAGAAGGTTCTCTTCATTGAATTAGACGATGAACGTACTAGCCATATCCAATACAATTGAACAACCATAGCAAAACCTTTTGATCATTGTTGTTTCAAGACTTCGGCACCTGTTCGAACGAATCCAAACATAGAACACGTGCTGTATATTTGCAGCTATCTCTGAAACTTAGATCATTAAAGTTGTCAACTTAACTAAGGCAACTCGTTCGTAGATAGAGTTCACTGCAAGAGCTTGATGTCTACTAATTGATTTGCTTTAACTACGTAACCACAATTGTGACATGAATGAATATAATATTAAACAAGAATAAATAAAGTAATATGAAAGCATTCGCTATATCATTGAAAAAAATGGGTTATTAGTGTATTTCAAATCATCATTCGTCATAAAATCTTCCGTCGACTCTTCAACCAAGGCTGTGAGCTTATCAAATTTGGGCTCTTCAAAGCGTTGAATATCGAGACTCTTAACTTTTCTTTCAACTTTCAAGTTGTCCCTCGTTGCCTCTATAGAATTAGACCTTTTTAGACCAGGAGTAGACATTTCGTTCCTTAGCTTGTAAATATTATTCCTTAAATGCTCCATCTCGACTGGATTTTCACAATAATTTAAGATAGATGCAACTCTGTCTGATATTAGCTTCATAAACTTCAAATCGAAATCCTGGTGCCCAAGAGATTTAATTAAATACTTTGAGTTCAAGACCCATGCAACGAACTGCTCCGATCCATTTTGTATTAAATACAATATTATCGTCAAAGCTTTCAATATGGAGCCTCCTCTTGAATTTTTATTTGTCAATCGTTTTGTTAGCACATGTTCTGTTTTTAATAAGTCCTTTGTGTTGAACGTCGATATTGAAATTTCAATTAAATCTTGATTAAACGGACCACTAATATGGCTATCAGTAGCTAAATTGTTAGTTGTGAAACCGTTTTTCGCCGTTAAGTAGGATACTCACCGTTTTTGATCTTCCAGTCTATTGAGTTAGATCTAAATGTCTTGTACAAGTTAATCATATCACTTTTCAACCAAATATTATTCCGTGTTGCCACTTCCTTTATCTTATTCGACTCTGTTTCAACTACTTATAATTTCTGCCACTTGAAACGTCAAATAAATCTGATCGTGACAGGTTGATCTAGAAAACGCCACGTCTTAAGAAAGAGTGGGTCGGTTTACCTGAAGCGTCAACGTGTGATTTTTTAGATCAAAATGATCTTTCTACCCTATAATATTCCCTTAGACAAACTTATATTCTTTTCACGCTTGCCGGATACAAACCTTACCGATCATCCATTTATAGGGGTGCAAGAAATAGATTTACGAGAAAACACGGGGGTATGATGACGGGAAATATTGCGCAAACTGAAATTGCTGAACTTAATTATTTACACCGAAACATAACCTTATGGTACCAGATGCTCACGGCCAACGCTATTAATTCATTAAATTCAATCAGGAATGTAAATCTATAGACATACCGTGGAATACTAGAAGCTCTTACTGGTTTTCTTTTTATTTAGCTGCTTGCAACCGAAAGGAAATAGCGCACGTAATTTGCCGGCAGCAAAGTTAATATAATAGCCATCAATCGCGGCACTAGATCGGTAAAATATTGGTCGCGGGACCCGCCATTAAGCAGCGACACCCGAGACTCCAGTTTTAGATGGAACACCTAAAATATTAACAAGTAATACATAGTTTAGAGATTTCTTTGTGAACATTCCTTTTGACGCCCCAACCATGTTAAGTAGCAGCTTGAATGTTTCATAACTACTTTAGCTTCTTGACTTCTCCTGTATACGAACTTACTACTAGCCCTGAGAAAATTCTGATCACGCGCTAGATTCTTCCGTTAGCTTTGTCGCGTGCCTAATTGGTAATATTAGTCGAATGACTTCGGTCCATCTAGTACAAAATTTGGATCATAAGGTGGACAAGCGTTGGATACTTAGTTAGTAAATCAAAATACACGAGAAGATCGCCTTGTAAAAACTCAAGAAGATAACTTTGACAATTCATTACATCTTATGTCGCTATTTCCTTCCCTCTGTATGTCTCCTCTGTTATCTCATCTGCAGTGCGATCGTTCCATGTCGGACGGACCGTATATGCCAACACGTAGTGTGAGCTAAAGAGCCGGCTGTTGTGGTTCTCTTGAGCTTTAAGGTTACCGGCACAGCAGAATAGCCGTCACTGTTTCTAAGGCTCTGATATCTACTCCAAAGTTATCAACGGGTTTCACTTTTGGATAAAGGAACTCCACTTTAGAACAGAAGCCACATTCGAAGTTCAGGCTTCTGGGATTTTAAGGACAGCTTTACTTTAACTGAAAGGTACATATACTCTGGGATCCGCTAGGAACACCAAGTAGTATTACCATCTCACTCGTTCAAGATCTCAAGTGCCTTGACATTTTATAGAACGGTCTAAAAAGATTTTCGTATTAAGGTGAAGAGAAAAAATTTATGAATGTCTGAAGACACTAATAAACTGCCAACTGAGCAGAGTAATGAAACATCCAGCTCGCCTTCTCTGGATGGCTTGGCCACTATTCAGTCGTCGTGTTCAGAGAACGATGAGAAGCCATCATTCAACTATGACTTGGATTTATTCAATTTGTGCAAACTCTACTTAGAAAACAAGAACCATCATGGTTTGGCTCTTATATCAAGACAGAAAGGACTCCCTCCATTTTTAAGATTTAGAATCTGGCCCATACTTTTGAAGTATCATCCTTTTGTTATAAATCCATTTCTTCAACCGGATTCTGATGCCATCAATAAAAGTGACAGTGAATCTTCTACTGGCTCAGACTCTTCAACAGCTTCAAGCCCTGGAATTGAAGAAGATGAAATAAAGATAAAGATAAGAAAAGATTTAGGGAAATATGTCCAACGTTTGAGGCACTCGTCTTCATTTGAATTATCGGACATTGAATCTCAAATATTTGAGATTTTACAACAGTCTATCTTGAAGTTCACATTAAAATGGAATCGAATAATCAAATATGATGAGGCATTGACATGGATAGCTTTGAACTTGGCAGAGTGGTTCCCCCCTATTGTAAATACTCCCTGGGTTTTAGTGGGTAGAGATAACGCAAATAACAAGCGATTCGTCAAGAGCTTATTTGATGACTATTCGAATTATATTGAAAGTATATCGGGCCTCAATTCTTCTCTTAATTCATTACTCGAGGACACGTCAAATACCAAAATGTCTTTTCACGATGTTTACGAAAGATTAGTGTTAGTGATACTACATTCCCCAGAAGAGAGGAATAAAGAATCCTCGACATCTAATAAAATAGATAAAACTATATTGCCCATAAGTGGAGGTACAATCGAAGATAGGGTTTCTTTCTTCATTTATTGTTTAAGGAAGTTATTGCCTGAACTATCCAAGCTCTTTCAAGAAGAGCAGATTTTAAATAAGTTTGGAAATAATGACGATGAATGGTTAATCTGGTGGTTGAAATATTGTGGAGCAAAGGTGTGGTCAAAATTCGATAGAGGGAGAATATGGGACTTATTGTTGGGCTGGAGATTAAAAAATCCCAAAAGAGATATGGAATATTATAATGATAAATTAGACATGGACAAAGAGTTGCTAAATAAGCTTGGTCCGGATGTCTTCTGGTCTGTGAGTGACGAAGATGAAACTGATCAAAAATCAAAGCTCAACGAAAGGTCAAAATCATTCAAAGATCTTATAAATGGACTAAGTGATCTTGATACCAATCAACTGAACTACTTATCTACTCCTTCCTCTAAGTTAAAAAACTGGAACTTGGATAATTCTTTGGATGATAATGTTCCCTTTGCCAAGTTAGATCCCCAAATAGAATTAATTTTCGTTTCATTGGCTTTGTTAAGATCGAAAGAGAATACATTAGTGGATTTGGACCAGCATGAAATAAGACAGTACTTATCAAGATTACCTTCTAATTCTTATAAATACAAACAAAACAAGAAGAACTATGATAGTCCAATGAAAAGGCAACCGCATTCCACTCAATCAAGCACTTTAATATCGAATGATTCATCGAACAATCATAAAGTTGATTTCATGGACAATATTATAAATGAAGCAGGTGAGCTTTGGAGAAAGTTTTTTTGGCTGGAATTGCAAGACTCATGAATAGTATAGCAATATAATATAGTAAAGGGCAGTCGCTCACTTTATGTATTAATATTTGGTTTGTAGCCCTTGTACCTCATAAATTTTATCAAGATGAGATGCTCAAAATAGTTTCTTGTAACCATCTTTGTTAATTCAAACAGTATGAGTGATGAGTTATCCGGCAGAGACAGCAAGTCTCACTTGAAAGAATCAAAAAAAGAGAAGAAAGAAAGAAAGAAGGAGAAAAGTCGTCAGAAGGATAGAGAGACCAACAAGGGTGAGAAAACACCTTCTCATGAACCTCATAAAACACATTCCGATCTTGAAGAGATATCTATTGATCTAGAAGCAAATGTGCCTTTGTCTAAGAAAGATCAGAGGCTTTTAAAGAAAGGAAAGTTGGATATAACGAAGCCCACAAACTTAAACTCGAGTGCAGAGAATGAAGCTGGAACAAAGAAGTCAGATTTTGGCGTATGGATTGGTAATTTATCTTACGACACTACAGTTGAGGATTTAAGACGATATTTCGTCGCCAAAACGGCTTCATATAAACTGCTTGATGAAAGTGAGCTGGATCTCGATTTATTGAAAATTGAAGAATCTGATATCGTTAGAATCAACTTACCGAGGAAGGATAAAAAGATTAAAGGGTTTGCATACATGGATTTTGCAGGTCCTAGACATGTAATCAGTGCAGTTTCCCTAAGTGAAACTCAGTTAGGTGGGAGAAATCTATTGATTAAAGATGTCCATTCTTTTGAGGGTAGACCAAAGAAAGATCCCTCTAAGTCTCTCTCTAAAAATCCACCGTCTAGGATCCTATTTGTTGGGAATTTATCATTCGACACCACAAAAGATCTCCTCGAAGAACATTTTAGACATTGTGGTACTATTGTGAATGTGAGAATGGCAACGTTTGAAGACTCTGGAAAATGTAAAGGTTTCGCATTCATAGATTTCAATGACGAAAGCGGTCCAACAACCGCCTTGAAATCCAAACTAGCAAAGAAATTGATCAATCGGCCCTTACGTTTAGAGTATGGTGAAGATCGCTCTAAACGTACCCCTAGTAGAAAGCGAATCTTACCAGATGAAGACTCCACCGAAACAACAGGAAGAAATGACATAGAAGATGATAATAAAACTCCTCCCAACACTAGGGAGTTTCCAGTTAAGCGAGGTAAGCCTGACAAATATCATGTAAACGATAACAAAAGAATGAAGTCATCTGTTGCATTAGCAACGGCACAGAGAGCGAGTGCCGCAATCCTTCCATCCACAGGTAAAAAGATTAAATTCGATTAAAATAGTAATTTTACAAGTTTATAGTTTTCAGAAAAGATCTGAATAAAAATATGTGTACAACGTATTAATAAAACAAAGTATTCAAAGAACAAAAACAAGAATAAAAATAAAGATAAATTGAAACTGAAGAATGAACACTTCACCGAATTGAATTTTTAGAGCTAAAATCAAACTTTCTTTGGGGTTCTTTTCTTACTCAATTCTTCAGTACTCATCTCCATGTAGTTGGGATTATTTTTGTGAGCCTCATATTCAGCATCACTTACTTCTTCATATACAGAATAGGTGTCGTAATCGGATGATGCGACAGAGTTCAACGTTCTCCTCGATCCGGAAACACCAGCTGGTTGTTTGGTTATACTAACGGGACCACTCTTTGAAGTGTCACTTTTTTGTTTAGCGGCTACTTTTTTGTCTGAAACGTCCTTCTTCGCGCCAACACTTCCTGATCTTTGCTCTCCAGACTCGCTTTTACTGAGTCTTCTCGAAAGTTTTTTAAATAAATTATTGGATTTGGAACTTTCATGCCCATTAGATTGCCCTGCTTTACTACTGGTTCCTGCTTTAGCACCACTTCCACTACTAGCAGAAGCACCAGCCGCACCAGCAGCAACCCCTGCGCCACTGCCAACAATTATAGCAGGTGGTGATATCTTATTTTTGCCCTTCTCTTTGGCAACTTCCGATTTTGGTTCCAGAAGTTGCTGTTTAGACGTAGCTCCTGTATCTGATGTTGATAATTCATTGCCACTATCTAAAAAAGGATTCTTGTCACCGTGCTTTTTGTCAACAATTTCTCGTTCCAATTTAATCTGCTTGCTGAGCATTGCTAGTTCTAATTCTCTTTCATCAATAAGTTTCTGGACATCATCAGTCTTACCATCTGTTGAAATTTCAGTCGCAAGTCTTGCCTTTTCTGCTCTCAACTGTTTAATTTTTTTCAAATTTTCGACTTCATCCGAAAGTCTTGTCATCTCAGACTCCTCAAACTCCAATCTTTGTCTGAAAGCCGCAAGTCTTGCTTCGTGTTCAGCTTCGAGCTTTTTAATTTCCTCTGCTTTAGACAGTGCGAGTTTATCAGACTCCTCCTGTTCTGAACGAGCCCAAGCTTCCTTCTCTTCTTTGAGTTTTGCAATATCTTCCTGCAATTTCAATCTTTCATTTTCTTCTTTTTGCAAGCGCTCCTTATGGACACGATCATTCTCTTGCTTCAAAGCCTCAAAGTCACTAGATCCACTAGTCCCTAACCCTGCTGTCGCAAGCCCAAGTGAGACGCTCTTAGCTTCCAGATAAGGTCCATTTGTTCTTAATTCTCTACCCTTTTGCTCAGTTGCGATCCTTTCTTCTTCTTTTTCTTTCTCTTTAGCAACTCTTTCTTCTTCTTCCGCTTTCTCCTTAGCAACTCTTTCTTCTTCTTCCGCTTTCTCTTTAGCAATTCTTTCCTGTTCAGCTTTAGCTTCTTCTTCACGCTTCAACCTTTCCTTTTCAAGCTCTTCGTGAACTCTTTTGGTTTCAGCCGCTTCCTTGGCTTCTAATCTTTGTTGTTCGTGTTCTCTAGCAACCTTCTTTGCTAATTCTTGTTTCTCACTTTCCCACTCGTGATAGTGGTTTTTAGCCTCGGATAATCTCCTTGAGCGCTCCTTCTTCTCATTGTCTAATGTGGATAATTTCGAAGAAAAGAGAGCTAAAGTACCAGCTAACAGCTCAACTTCAGTAGTCAATTCATCGTGTTTCTTTTGCTTTTCGGCTAATTCGTTTTTGGCTGTATCTATTTTAGTATCCAACTCATCTTTTGTTGCTAAATTGTTTGAGATTAATGATTTCTTCTCAGAATGCTTAGCCTTCAAATCACTCAATTCCTCTGTCTTTTCGTTCAATTCGGACGTCAATTCCTCAATTTTAGTAGATAACTCGGAGTTATCGTTATCTAAAGCAGTTTTTTTTTCTTGCAACTCTTCGATCTCTTGAGTGATCGTTTCCTGGTTCGCTTTGGCGTCTTCTAAATCTTGCTTCTTGGTTGCCTCTAACTCTTCGTGATTTTTGATCAAATTTTCCTTATCAGTTGAGTGTTTTTCGACAGCCTCTGCCTCGCGTTTTTTAAATTCGCTGTCTGCCTCTGAAATCTCTTCTTTTGTAGTCTTCTCAAAGTTTGTCGCAGCCGTCTCTGCACTCTTCGTTTTCTTGGCTAACTCTGCAAGTTTATCCTCGATATCCTTATTAAATTTAGCTTTTTGTTTTTCAACCTTCTTCTTGTATTTCTCGTAGTCACTCGTCAACTTTTTCTCCTGTGCTTTAACCTTAGTCGCTAATTCATCCTGTCTTTTTATCTCATCCTCTGTTCTAGTCTTATCAACTTGCTCATTAATATTAGCTATCACAGGAGCGACCCTAGCAGCTGCAATATCGAGTAACTGTTGTTGAGTCATCTTCATTCCACTTCCTAAATCAATTACCTTATTAGGGTCGTCCAAGGCACGAGAAGCTGAACCAATTGCTGTAGCACTAAGCTCTTGATAGTGGGCTAGTAATGCCGGTTTGTCTTGAAATTCTTGCAAAACCTTTTGATCGGGTTCTGTAACCGGTTCATATTTGAAAGATGGTTGTGTAACTAATTCAATGGGGGCATTCTTGATTTTCTCTTGTAAGTTATCATCTGGAGCAGAGTCTGCGACAGTGGTTTCTTCGGGTTCCTTACTAAGCTCGTCGTCAGCCTCTGTATTCTTTTCGCCCACCGGTTCGACCTTATCTACAGCAGCCTTTGATACAGTTTCTTTATTTTCAGCATCATCAGCTACAGAACCAATATCAGATGTACCTGTCTTCGAGGCAACCTCATCAGCAATTGCTTTCGGCTCATCCTCATCAGCTGATTCGTCCTCTTTCTTACCCTCTTCTTCTCCCTCCTCCTTGTCCTCCTCTTTAGCTTCGTCTTCAGCTTCTTCTCCAGCGTCTACTTTAGATTCTGTCTTTTCCAGGAGATCCTCCTTAGCACCACCGGACTCGGGTGTTTCTTCCTTGACTTTCTTTTGGGCTTCCAAAGTTGGGTGACTAGCAAACTTCTTCGGAACATGAATTCTATTAATTGAATTATCTTGGACGTACTGCTTATGAAGATTCTTCTTCGACAGACTAGACGTTCTGAAGGGAGAAACCCAGCTCTCACCTGTTGTAAACTTACCCAATTTTGTGCTTGACTTCGATGCACCAGACCCTGCTGATTTTTCTGTAGCAGTATCGGACATGGCGTTATTGCTTTCTAACCTTAAGGGATTTTCTTATTGATGCCGTTAACTAGTCTCAATTAGTATCGATTTGCCAATTGATAGATCACTAATACTCAATTGCTATACTTACGTTGCGTTGACCAAAATTCAAAACTTTTTGCTTAGAATAGTGTGGGTCATCAACAAAATGGAATTTGGCAATTGCGTATACTATATAGTTGCCTGAAAATGCCTGGCTCGAGAACAGCTTCTTTCTGATTTTCCGAGGGTTGTCCGTCAATCTTACGGTTATCCTCGATTTCCACCAAAGCCAGCTATTTCTGTTTTATTACTGTGTTTATTCTGCACATAATTCCACTCTTATCAAGCCGGTATATTCTCGGTACTTTACCGAGACATACTATTTGGGTCCGCTTCATCTGTCCCTCCTTTCCATCCTTGTGTTTGCTTGAATCTTTCCCAATCGGTAAATGAAATTTCCCATTTCACTATTACATAAGCTTATTTTGTTCGCGACATAAACTCAGGAAATTTTAACTCTTACCTCAATTATGTCGTCTTTTATCTGCGACTTTTGGGTGCGAAATACTAATACATGAATGCCAGTTTACTAGGGCGGGGGGGCCGGAGACGAGTTCACCGTCAATTAGCAGTCCCTATTAATATGCATTCCGCGAAAATTTTACACCCACCCTATATAGCGCTCAGGCGAGGTCTCTGTATAGGTAGGTTCTCAGAACAATCATAGATCTCTTGCGACAGCTCTAAATTGCCAAGCACATGAAATTTTCTGAGGAAGACACACAAAAAATGTCACCAAAATAATTTGATATAGCATAGTGGAGACAGTATAAGGTATTTACAAATATAAGTCACTAGGAAGCCAATTTCATATATCTGTAAAGTAAAGGACCTAGGAAGTAGATTAAACCTACGAAGCAGTTGATTATAATAATCAGGTCTTATCTCGTTGATTCATCCTATGGGTGATTCCGATCGATTATCAGGCAACCAGTCAGCGGCAAGATAAATACCAATGGCGACATTAACACCAGCAGCAAGCTCGTGTTACAGATTACAGCTTCCACCTACGGAAGCTGATGATAGGCTTAACTTACATGTACGGACGGGTTCGGCTTCTACTTTGTTCAACTCTTTGGTATTTGCTTACGGCGGTTTAACTATAGGGTTAGAACTTAATGATGTGACAATCCAAGATATCTCAAGAGCATTCAGACAGCATTTAACCAACAATCAACCCAAAGATATCCGAGCATATTTATCAGGAGAGTTCTTTTACCTTAATTTGATCGAAAAAGTTTGGAAAAGAGTTAAAGTTAAAGCAGGGGACCCAAAACCGAAACCAAGGCTCTTTCACGAAATTGCAGCAATGAATAACCGTGTTTATGTATTTGGTGGGTTAACTGTACCGGAAGACTGGAATTATGAGCAAAGAGAAGGTGATACGTTATCATCTAGTCCTCCTTTAGTTCCCTGTAATGATTTATGGGAATTTGACTTGGAAACTAGTAAATGGGCTTGTCTAGATGATGGCTCGACGTTTGTCTCAGACAATACTGTTCCGGGGCCCAGATACAGCCACAAGATGACTGCCATAGGTAGTTTATCATTTGCAAATAAGAGTGACCATTTTGGAATATTTATAGCAGGAGGAAAAGATGCAAACTCCAAACCCATATTCGAAAATGTAATATTTGATTTGGTTGAAAAAAAGTATGTGAGTTCAAAACACACTCATTTAAGGATTCCTCATGATAAATTGAATGAGAAATATGGCTACGGTAATGTTGGCGGAATAAATGACGACAATGATTTGAATGTTGATTACACAAACAGCATAATTGTTAACTTTACTGATAGATTTGACGACTCAATAGCAAAAAATAGCTCGAATCAAGGCCAGAGTTTTGGAGAGAGGCGTTCTAACAGCAGAGATGATACATTGAAGAAAGAATCAATAATAGTATATGCCCCAGTAAGGACGAAGCATGGGCAACCTCCTATTAATCCACTCATTTCTTTTAGGCTTGGTAAATCCATCAAGTCAGGAAAGTCTCTTCCTTTATATTCAGAAGAGAGGACTGCGAAAGATCAATCAATTATCGATAGTCAAACTATCCCCTACAATCTTAGATATCCTACAGGAGGTCTATTTGGACAAAATATTGTTATCACCGGATTTTTGCCCAACGAATATCATATTTCTATTTTTGTGTACAATAAGCCAACAGGAAAGTGGTCAAGATTGAATGTTTTTTGTAACCATGACTATGGTTCACACAGATTTTGGGGAGGATTTGCTTGGCAGTCACATCATAAGGTTGTTTTGATAGGAAACTTTATAACTTCTATGACAACAAGCAGTATTAGGTATTTTACCGTGATGATAACAGTCAGTTTACCCATAACTAACATCTTGATTAGCTCGGAATTAAAGCTACAATCAGACAAAGTAGATAAAAAATTAACAAATAATTGTAATGGAGAGGATACAAGCTCTCTGGGAGAAGATGAGCAGGATGACAGGCGACTGTCTGCAATTTCTCTGGATACACCAGCTGCCATCAGTTTTAGTGAATACGTACACTATGCTGCTCCTAAATCTAATTTTACCACAGTGAGATCAGTGTTCCCTCCTGCAGCGGTGACCTTGGGCAGAAAAGCTTTAGATAGATTTGGTGACCTTATCTCAGATTTTGAATTGATTTCTTCGATTGGAGACAGGATTCCAGTGTCCCTCATAGTATTGATGGAAAGATGGGGAAGGTATTTCATTGAATTGCTTGCGAGAGGGTATGTACGATCAGTCCACCTGTTTGAAGAGAAATTGAAAGAAGAACCTGAGCATTCAAATGAAAAACACATTGTGCCGATCGAGCGGCCGGATGATTCTGGTATTGTCCTAGAAAATAAAGGTGGTCCTCAGTTCAGGTTGCCATTTCAGGAATTACGGTCAAAAACAGAGATGCAACAAATCAACGACGTAATGGCAGAAGCAAGCGCAGGTCGCCCGACACTAGAGTCAGTCTCATCTTCTGTGGATCCCCATGAAGTGAGTCCACCAATTAACTCATCCAAGGTAGGAGACGACAACAGCATTGTAAGTGTTCATTTGGATGAAATACCACCCCAGCTACCTTTACCGGAGGAACCTTTGCCAGCCGTTCCTTCGACCCCTTCATTATTCAAGAGCACATCTAGAAAAGGTTCCAACGATGTCAATTCTCCCAGAGCTTCCTTGATTCATACTTTAACAGTATTGAGAAATATACCACTTTCAAAATCTCCGAGAAGCTCTCCAATGTCATCACCAAGGCCGTCTCTATCTGGACCATCGAGCTCACATGAAAGTCTCCAGCCCTCCCATGATGCAAATGTTGGTACACCAGGCAAAAACAATCGCTCGACGGATGAACTACTAGGAATTAGTGAAAAGCTTAATGCTTCCAAAAAGAGCCCCAGCTTTGCTTCATTACTGTCTCTAGGATCTCATTATGGTGATAAAAAGGACTCAACGCCATCAATCTTTTCAGATGACTCTTTAGTTCTTGGCAATAAGGAAGAAAAAGGTCTTTCCCTCTCCTCGTTACTTGATTTTGAAAATTTAGAAGAGCGTCGAAAAATGGAACCATCACTAGTTCCAAGAAAGCTTTATATGCCCTTTTCAACAACTACGTTGAAAGCATTTTGTGAATATTTGTATACTGGCCAAGTGGGTAATAAGTGGCTCTTAACTCCGACTGCCTTAGACAACTTGCAAATTGCTAAATTTTATGATGTTCCCTTGTTGTATGATCTAATTAGTGAAGTTCTCTTTGGAATTATTGGTAGGAAAGAGCATTATATATCTCTGGAAGGTAAGAAATTAAAAAATAAGTATTTTAAACTTTTAAAGTTGACAAACACGAAGATAGATCCTAATTTTAAATTTCCTTTGGATGAATATCAGGGTTTTTTGAATACAGTTGATGATGGCTACTTAGATGTTGCTTTGATGAAGAAAACATCTAGTCTAAAGCACATGTCAACAGTGGGAAGACGAAGAAAGTCGAGCTCCAGCTCTAAAGTAGGGAATGATGATGGTCACTTATCTAGTAATGTTGAAGGTTCTGCAGATAATTCTACTGAAGATTCGTCGGGCAAAAGGTCTAGCGATGAGGAGAATGATTTTGAACTAAGATATTTGGACAATCGCGAAGAGCCTCACGTAGGACCAAAATCAAAGTCAGTGTTTGATAGGGCAAATAATCTACGTGCTGACTTTTTTCAAAGTACTCTAGATGAACGGGCTGGAAACTTGGAGATAGAAAAGATGGAACTGGTGACTTTAGAACAGATTGCCTCTCCTAACTCACCTGTCCCTAGGGACTACGCAATCGAATTAATATATGAAGCTGCCTCTATAGTAGCGGATATTAAATTGATGTTAAGAGCTTTAAACGTGAGACATATGAGTAGGATATTGAAGCAGTCACAAACTGATTTGGGATTGGAGATTGACAGACTTACCCATTTGTACGACGAAAATATTGCTGAAGAAGAGACTTCTGAGGAAGAAGGAGGGAATAATGCTGAGTCAGAGGTCGAATGTGCCACTCCTCCTAAGTTGAATCCAACTCGTTCAACGTCTTCTCTCGGTTCCATACTAAGTAATGTAGTTCATGGGGGGTCAGATAAAGCTAAGATGCATTCTAGTCTCCGAAATGTGGGGGGCTTTACACCAGTAAAACAGACCAAGACACAAGATGCTAAATTACGTAATAAAGAATTAGATAAGCAAATTACCAAGCTAATTAAGAAGGATGAAAATTTAAAGTCCAAGCAGGAGAAAAGCGACAAGCGTATGATTCGAGAACTTCAGAAATCTGAGAAGCTGGACAAGAAAACGGACAAAAAAGCAGACAAGAAGCCGTCCGAAAAAGGTAACCTTGTTCGCAAAAGTCTTTCAAGGACTCTCTCAAATTTGAATCCAAGCACTGAGGAATCTTCCCCTGCGCCTTCTAACCAGGCCAATACAAAGAAGCATCATGGTTTCTTTCTACGGAATCATTTGAAGAAGAAATAAGGTTCTGAGCAAGTCCTATTATTTACATATATACGCACGTGCATGGGCTCGGTAGCAAGATGTAAAGGAACAAAAGTTGCGAAAGTTGCTACCACACTGATTGAATATTCGGATGCATATATCTCGCATAAAATAATAAGACACTGTCTTACTTGCAATTATCTGCTGTCAGCGTGATTCTCTTCTCTCTTGCTCCGGCCAGTTCGTAACCAGAGCTGGTTTGGGGCAATGTTAACTAAATATTTAAGGCAAAGCTGTCTTGAATCTTCGGTTTTTTTCGTCCACTCTTCTTGGCTTACGGAGGAGCCACTTCTTTAGTATTATAGTTTATTTACGTTCCCGCACGAGCTTTTCTGTCCGTGTAAATGCCGAACAAAATGTATAATATAATTGTTTTGTAAGCCATCTCTCCACATTAAGTGTATTGTTAGCGTTTAGAGCAAAGCTTCCAAGAATATACTGGTCGCAACTCCGCTTATTGATTTACACTTTCCCGAGGTGTTGTATTATTGAAAAAAAAATCGGTTTCGTGCTCTGATCGTTTTCTTACACAGAGGTATGTTGTAATAGCGCATATATGTTTGAGCCGCATTAGCAGCAATATTGATAATAAGTTTATCTCTAATATAAAAGAAAGATGACGAATGTAAATTCGGCGTAACATATTACAGTAGAATTAGAATTAGACTTAGATTAGACTTAAGTATAGATATTATGGCTGAAACTTTGAGAATAAATAACGATACATTTAAATTAAACCAAGGGGTAGAGATACCAAAGATTGGTCTTGGGACTTATAAGAGTGGCAAGGGAGGAGAGGCTTACGAAGCTGTCAAATCTGCTTTGAAAAATGGATATACACACATTGATACTGCTGCTAGGTATGGTAATGAAGAAGAGATTGGCAAGGCCATAAAGGATTCTGGTATTCCTAGAGAAAAAGTCTTCATAACCACCAAGTTGTGGAATGTTGACCACAAGAATGTAGAGGAGGCTTTGGATACTTCATTGAAAAAGTTGAAAACTGAATACATTGACTTGTATTTAATTCACTGGCCCGCATCTATTGATCCCGAAACGGATGAACAATATGAGGATTGGAACTATGTGGAAACATACAAAGAGTTGCAAAAATTGAAATCTAATACCGATAAGATAAGAGCGATCGGTATTTCCAATTTCACCATTAAAAAGTTGAAGACCTTGTTATCCGATCCAGAGGTAAATGTTATGCCTGCAGTCAATCAAATTGAAGCACACCCTCTTCTTCCTCAGCCTGAATTATACAACTACTCAAAGCAGAAAGGGATCAAGATAGAGGCATATTCACCTTTGGGCTCTAGTGGTGCTCCATTATTTAAGAATGAAACCATTAATGAAATCGCTGACAAGAATGGTGTGGATTCGGCTAATGTCTTGATATCTTGGGCCATTCAAAGAGATACTGTTGTCTTACCAAAATCGGTAACAGAAGCAAGAATTATCAATAATTTGAAAACATTTACGTTACCAGCTGAAGACTTTAGAACTTTGGAAAGGCTATCAGAGAAATATGGAGTTACGAGAATTAATGATCCGGCATTTAACAGCTTTGAAGATTAGGTAACCGCTTTAGTTCAGCTTTTGTTCAGCAAAGATCTTTATTTATAGTGAGTTAGTAGAGTATGTTCAATAAAGTTAAGTTTTTTTAAAATTCAACTCTGATGTAGTCATATTTATGTAATTTACGTGAGAAGGTAGATAAGGTCTTTTCACCTATACCTTAAAAGAATAACACTTTAGAGGTGTGAAGGAAGTTTACAAACTTCTACTTGAATTTTAGGACTTAGGGCCATCAAATTAAAAACTATATATTATTTAAATTAATTGTAGATATTGAATATTCGTAATTTTCTATCTAGAAGGCTGGTTTGTAGTGTTTAATATCAAAGAACACCAGTAGCCTTCACAAAATGAATCACTTAAGTTAAGGTGTTTGCAATAATTATAATATGTGTCACGTGTTCTGCTATGTATAAAATTAAAATAAAGCCTTGATTTTGTACTGATCAACACATTGGTAAGATAATTAATATCTTTAGAATCATGTCAAACGGTTGGGACCTGCCGAGTGCAGATGATTTTATAATACCAGATGAAGATGTGGCTAGTCAAGTTCCACCCAAGCAAACACATCAACAAGCAGCTTCAGGACCTTCTAATCAACTGACATCTCAAAAACCTTCTGGCTGGAAGCCTAAAGTGGATTTATCCTCGGCATTCACTCCATTCACTTCGGCAAAAGACTTTTCTAATGGAAACCAAATTAAGGAACGTCAATACACTGGAGGGGATACTTTGGATGAACCCATATGGCAGACCTTAAAGAGAGATCTCTTACGGATCGGAAAGCGGTTAGCTATAGTTATTTGGCCAATGCAGTTGAGCAAATTAGCTAAGAAGCAGCAGAATAGACTTATTGATTTCGCTAGTGGTAATGGTATTCAACTTCCTCAACAAATCTTAGATAGCCGTAGGATATCGGTTTCTGAATATGACGAAGAAGATACTGCTGGTATGAATTTGAGCGAATCAGTTAACGTAGGAACGCTCGACTGGGATCTTTGGGGACCCTTGATTTTTTCATTATTATTTTCGGCTACATTGGGGTTTGCAAGCTCGAATAATCAGGCAAATCTGGTTTTTTCGGGTTCTTTTTCCTTTATCTGGATATTCTTTATTGTCGTCGGATTAAATATTCAGCTTCTCGGAGGAAATATTTCATTCATGTCTGCGATCAGTGCAACAGGATATTCGATGTTTCCAATAGTGATAGGTGAACTATTATGTTCTTTGCTCTTAAAGTGGAAAATAATACGTCTTGCCGTAATCGCAATTTTAAACACATGGAGCATATATGCAGCTATGATGAGTCTAAAATGCTCAGGGGTTCTTCCTGGGAGGGTCTTCTTGGCTATGTATCCAGTAGGTCTTATGTATTCGGTGTTAAGCTGGTTAGTTGTTATAACTTAGGTTCTCTGCAATTCTTAGACTAAATCTATGCTTTTGCTATATGCAAGTAACTCTTGCATTAAATGATATATAATATCCTTTATTGATAAAGTTTTAATAAGTGAATAATAAAGCAATTTCAGGTAGCAAATTCTATATTTAGCGAAAAAAAGGTACTTCTTAGCATTAGGTTTGTGCATATGTAATTTGGATATAATGAGGAAATTGATAAGAAGACTGATGATATTTTCATAGGGTTTGGCAGAGTCGTCGTGTGCCTGTCAGGTTGCAAGTTAGGAAACTTACTTGATTGTCAAGTGCTCGGGTTCGACTCTGACACGATTTAAAACTTAAATGATGAACAGAATGGATGTGAACAATCTCTTAGTTTGATCAAACGATCTTACGAAGATTAAAAACCCTGCCTTCCTACTGAAAAGGTTTTAAATTCTTTTTATTTCTATTAGAAATAATAAATACTATACTATGAAATAGCTCAATTCCAATGCAACAAATATAGATTTCCAATGCTTACTTGTTTTTGTCGCCTTTTCTTCTTCTCTTTTTCCTCTCCATCTTTGCAATTTCGATCAAATCATCTTCGCTAGGCTCATAAATATGCCAGATTGTGTAGTGAGGTAGTCCACCTACTCTGTATCCCATCAACTTGGCCATCTTACCAAATGCCTCTGTTTCGGCGTGATTTAGAAAAGTGAAAGCTGGGAAATGCACTCCATGGCGAAATATTTGAGCGCGTGCGAGAATGGAGACACCACCAACACCATCTATATCTACAACTTCGTTCGGATTGCCTTTAGGATTTCTGTCATAAGCCAAATGGTATCTCCAAGTCGGATACTCAGCATAACCCTCAACAATGACATCATCTTCATCTAGAGATTTGGCCAAAGCAATTGCGGTATCAGATTCAACCCAAGTATTCAAATCATAAGCCTGTTCACTACCAAGAAAACTCGGTAACGGCCTCCAAACATTAGGCACCATAACATCATAATTATGCTTCATCAAGTCTTGGATGATCGAACCAGGGCACGTCTCAATATCAACATCTCTCCAATAAACCCACGAATGATAGGGCTTTAAAGCGTTAGACGTAAGCCAGTTTCTTGCTCTCCCCATAAGTTTACGACGAATCCCTTGGACCTTCACTGCATGTCTATCACTAAATCCCTGACCGATAACTTGGCCAAAATCCTTTTTGTAGATCGATACAGACCTGAATGGGTCCTTATAACCCTTATGAGAAGCAGCAGGATTTGTATAAGATCGCTTGACGTTTGCCATATAGCCTGGATCCATGTATAATTTGTATAAATCGGATGAACCCTTTACTAGTTTTGCTCTCTCTTCTGCTTCCTCCGCTTGCAACTTGTCCACCAACGTACCATTTTGTAAAGCAACCGAGTACTGGAACACTGTCTCCAAAGTGGTATCATCCGGAGAACAATCGGACACCAAAAATGCAATATCAATCAAAGAATGATCATATGTTAAATTCATTAGATTATAAAACGCCATAGGTAATACATGCTCGGCGTTTCTTAATGGCATTAAAAATAATACCACGTCTCTTTCGGCTAATCCATTTGCAGATCCTTTGTAATCGTTGAGATCGTAATAATCGACGACTTTATTGAATGCATCCTGCTCACTTTCAACTGAATTTGTACCCTTCCCAACTCCAAAATTCGGATCATGCTTTTCTACACCTTCCTTTGTCACCTTGTAAACCTCAAGGCCCGGATCCGTGCCGCCGTTCTCTAGAATATCAAAGTCAATATCGTGGTCAGATACTGAGCTATTACCCCTATGTCGCCCCAATAATAACCACACTACTATAATTAAGAATGCTGATATTAAGAGCTTTCGATATAGCATTGCATTGCGTTTCTTTCTGAAATGGAATCTGTTATAGCTGAAATATTAGTACTCAAAGAATCTTGAAAACAGAACAATATAGACCTTGATACTTACCTTGGGAGCTCTTCTTTTTTCCCTAGACCCTTTAGAATCATCATATATGATCTTTAATAGTTAATCAAGCCCAACGCTTGTTATAGTATACACGCTCTTACAATCTACAATCAACACGATCAACTTCAGTATTTTTTTTTTTCTTCCCTGTAGTCTAACACATGTCGCGTGGAATTTAGTTGCACACGTGCTTCAATATCAGAATAATTCATCTAAACTACTTCAGTCAAGCCATTCTCTTTAGGCTTGAACCAGAGATCTCTAAGGGTAGTCCAGCACTCCCGAGCAATTTTTAGAGCAGCTTCCTCTGATTCTGCTTTTCCTTCTACATATACTTTTAATTTAGGCTCCGTACCTGATCCTCTGCATGTAAATCGCACTTGATCCATATTACTATCCAATAATTTTGCAGTAATCATTTGAGAATGGGGATCTATAGGTAAAACTGGTATGTGGTCGCTTGTTGTGGTATCATACCCAATAGTGAGATCTCTCCATTCAGATACTTTAAAGTTGCCAATAGTCTCCGGCAGCTGTTTGTCGTATGACAGTCGAATAAAGTTAAAAATAACGTCTGTTCTACTCTTGTCTTTGAGTTTGTAATATCCGTTACATTCTTTAAACCATCCATACTTCTCGTATCCAATATGCAACCTTTTGATCAAATCGATATTGTCGTTAATGCACCACTTTTGATAAAGTTGAAGAAAAATAACGGCAGCAGCGATACCATCTTTGTCATTCACTCCGTCGAACATAAAACCTATTGCTTCCTCGTAAGCAAAAGGAACAAGATACCCTTCCTTTTTAAGATCTATGGCCTTGTTACCAATCCATTTGAACCCAGTGAGCGTATCTTGGTAATTGCAGCCCTCGACTTCTGCGATTGATGCCAAAACCTGAGAAGAAACCGTAGAGTTTAAGAGATAGACTTTCAGTAATTCACTTTTCGGAAAGCACTCAATTACATACATAGCAAACAAAAAGCCAATTTCATTTCCAGTCAATTGTCTCCATTTATGATCAGTTTTCACGGCGATACTAAATCTATCTGCGTCCGGATCGTTTGCTAGGACTAGATTGTAACCAAAAGAGTCCGCTGTCTTGATTGATAAATTTAATGCGCCCTTCTCTTCTGGATTTGGAAAAGCGACGGTGGAGAATGCAGGGTCTGGACTTGCTTGCTCTTTGACGGCTTTATAACTACCTCCTTTGAAGAGTTTAAAAGCTTTCTCAAATATATCTAATCCGATCCCTTGCATTGGTGTGTAAATAAATTTGAAATTGATACTATCGCTAATGATTAAATTCTTGTTGACATGTTGTAAATACGCCTCCGTAGTTTCTTCTTTTACAGCCTGGAGTAAGTTTCGTTTTATACCTTTTGCAAAGTTATCTTCAACATCCCAAACATTAAGATCATACCATGGCAGTAAATTTTCGTCAATGGCTATTGCTATATCAGTATCATATGGTGGAATTATTTGGCAACCGTTAGAATAATAGACCTTGAAACCGTTATCCTGTGCTGGGTTGTGTGAGGCCGTTACCATTACTCCAGCCGAAGCCTTGAAGTAATCTATTGCAAAAGGGACCAATGGTGTATGAACACACAGATCAAAGTTTGACTCAGAAGTGCCATGTTGCAACGACTCATCGGAGAGCACATCAATAGATCCCAAGTAGAATACCTTGAAGCCTTTCGTAATTGCCACGCTTGCTGTTATTTCTGCAAATCTTTGTGAATGATATCTATGATCATACCCAATCACAATAGACAATTGGGACCCCCGATTAGAATTCTCCAAATAACTAACCAATCCCTGCGACGCTTGTAGAATAGTTACATCATTCATATTTGCAAATCCAGAACACATAGACCCTCTCAATCCTGCTGTTCCAAAAGCTATTCTTTTGGACATTTTCTTATCTAAGGTCTCATAGTCATGCTGCTGTAGTAACTTTTGAATTTCCTCCTTTGATTTAGCATTCATATCAATTGAAAGCCAATCATCAGCGAGTCGCTGAATTCTCTCCACGTCATCTTTTCCATACATTTTATTCAATTGGAGTAATAAAGGAAAAACAGTGCTTTTTTATTTGAAGTGTCCGAATAAGCATTCAAACCGAACTTAAGAAACTAATGAGCTTTTGTTATTTTTAATGGAACGAGTACATATATTACAATTATATATCACGAATAAGACAACTGATACTCAAGAACAGTAGAATTCTCCGTTACAGCTACAAATTTGACAACTTGATCGTTAATAAAGTCGCTATCAGTGGCACTAGTCAAAACACCAAGCGTTCTGATCAGGCTCTTTGATCCCTCTAGAGGCGAGGTAGAATGGTTGTCTAACCATCTTTTGCCCTTTTTGACATATCTATGTAAATGGAACGTCTTTGCAGTACATGTAACTAATATACTTGTAGATGGATCAATAGTAAAATCTATTAGTTCAGCCTTGAACTCAATTGTGTGTACCACTATGTTTTTTCTCAAGTCGATCACCTCCAAACAGCTCTCATCGTTATCATTAGAGGAAGATACAAAGAGCCAGTATCCATTCAATGCAAATTTTAGTTTTTGAATATTGAAATATTTCGTGTTCAATTTGAAAACGGCCTCGGCGGTAGCTAGATTAAAGATGGTTATTACACCTGTTTTGTTTCCTATTCCCAATAAAGCGCCATCAACATGGATGTCACCGGCGGAAATGCCTTCCGAAATAGCAGAAGAAACATACACAGCTCCCTTTTTGATATGATTAAGAGACCATCTATCGTGGGACAAAATTATAAATAGCTCTGTTAATCTTGGATGTGTCAAAACTAATAAAATATCTTTCTGCTCTGTCTCATAAGTAAACTTTCCATCGCCCACTATTAGGACATCTTTGTGGGCGATAAATGGCAAAAGCTCACCATCATATTCAATAAAATTTAGTGCAGTTACAAGACCCTTGTGAGAAAACTTTTGGACCTTTGAATCATCGAATGTGTATATCGCAGTTGACCCTGTTGGAGAACCGATTAATAATGTTTTAATCTCAGGATTCAAAAATGCAGTGGTAAGCTTTTTGAATGGTTGTATGAGATTTCTACTAAAGGTAATCAAAACTTGTGCTTCCGGATCTATTGATAATACTGCTTTTTGTTCCTTGTGCATTTTAAACAATTCTTCTCTTGCGATATTAATTTCCTCCGCAGGAATTGTGACTCCATTAGTAGATGGTATTGTGTTTTCATTTTTGAGTTCCCCTGAGCCAATTGAAGCAGCAAGCTCCAGTAACGCCTGTTGTGCCACGTCCCGCTCTTTTATTGCTTTTGCTGCTACCCTGACTGCCGCATCGTAATGATATAACGAAGCACTCAACTCTTCCTTCACAGCATGCAATTGTTTCCGCAAAGTGAACACTTCTAATGCCAATGCATCCCACTCATTTTGAAATGTTGATAGAAGGGATGGAATGGAGTGAGAGCTGGGTGGATTTGGGGGTGTGATCGATAGACTTGAAGAATTTATTGGAATGAGATCTGAAACCTCAAGCGGCTCATCGTTTATCGGGTCCTTTCCACTCGTTGAAATATAGTTCACCGCGTGCTTCTTTTCAAATATTGCACCACTTTTAGGTGAAACAACAGGCTCCTTTGGTATCTCACCAGAAATGGAACATATCATTATTTATTATTTAGGTACACCAACCAGGTTGTATGGAAATACCTGTTGATGTTTAACCTCTTCTGAAGAAACCTTAAAAACTGTCATATATGCACTACCGTAACGAATTTTGCCTATGTCAATAAAATTAAAACCACGAGAACATATGTAACTATAAACGAGAGAGAAGTTAAAGTTTAAGAAGATATAATAGATAAGTCCTTGAATGTAATTTGATTGTAAGAGAAGTAAACAACAGCATGAAGAGTAACAATTTTGACTCTATACCAGCTTCTCATACAGGTAGTGGTCATACCCCATATTTGGTTCACCCCCACTCACTTGTCTATATGGCTTGAAGCTTCTCTTTTCAACTCCGAAAAGACCACAACAGTGTCCTAAGGCACTTATAACAATAACGAGGAAAGCTGCGACAACCGCAGACCATATAAATGCGTAAAAATTAATGGAAAGATATGACTTGACCCCGTAGCTTGATACATTGTCGTTAATTTCCTTTCTTGTATATACGTAAGCTCCTGTAATAAGTGCTGCACCAACCAATGCTGCAAGAAAAGTGATAAACTGTAGCGAGAAATTCAAAAAAGATAGGCAGCACGAATCAGGTGAAAGACAGCATGCAAATGTTTGCATGACAAGACAAATAAACCCGAGGATTATAGTAACCAAAATCAATGCAAACCCGGCTTTCGTAACACCATTTAAAACTTTAAGTTTGTCATTTAAATTACCCGGTAAATTAAAAGAGTCGTAGTTAAGCTTATCCAAAACTTCTGCGAGTGCCGATTTCACTGTGTCCGAAAGATCGGGGTCAGATATGCCACCGGTCACCGTGCCATTGATAGCGTCTCCGACTTCTTCCTTGAAGATAGTCAAAGGATCAAAGAAATAGCCCGCCTTTGGCTTCGAACACCACGTGAAGTTAAGCTTATTGTTATCAAATTCTTTGAGTACTTCATTACTACTCTGCTTTTTCTCGGATGTCACATTGCCCTTGCAGTAACCCCAAAAACTTGCAGAATATACATCTGCCAAACCCAAATCCGAATATTTCAAATCAAGAATTTCGTCAATTACACTGCTGGCCTGACTCACAATACTCGATACTGAAGACGAAACGTCATCGGCAGACGTCCTTTCCTTTAAGTCAACAGATACTGACGGTTGCTGAAGATCGATAGACCTCTTCACATTACCAGAAATTATTTTATTCAAATCACTCACAGTGATCAACTTTGACAAGTCCAAGTTGTTCAACTGGAAATCGATCAAATATGTCTTCGTAAGATACGCTTCATTTTTGTAGGAACCTGTGAATGCAAATGCTGACAACACTATCACAGCCAAAGATAAAATGAGTAAGATAAGACGAAAAAATCTTAGCATTATATTTCCTGGTAATCCGAATTTCCTTTTTGCTTTAGTGTTTCGATGTTTTAGCTTCCTTTCGGCTACCAGCTAGTGATTTTCTGTTTTTATATATGTAGTTCTTAAAATAGATTCTGCAGGAAAACACGGTTTGATCTAATCACTATTGAAAAACTACCAATGATCTCTCTATTTAATACCTGTTAATTTTTAGTCGATCCAGATCAACCTTTGGATGTGCCGGCAGAAGGGGTGGGAATACAATTGATGATTTGTAAAAATGGCTGGGTATCTTACTACTTTTAAAGTCTAATTAACAAAGGTGTGCAAAAAAATGGCTGGTCATTTCCATTCACATGTATAACTTATCGGTCCGGAGTTAAAAATAGATCCGACTTCAATAGAAAAGATGATATGAAAGACTCACCTAGCGACTGGGGCACTACTAGAAACTAACTGAAGTGTGATTCAATTCCATGTCACGTCTATGTCATCTTGAATCACCACTAAGCCACAATGACATGAAAAAAGTAGTTTTAAGTATTAGCTGCAATACTTTACTTTAGTCTACACTTTTGTGTGAAACAAGAAACTATAGAGACTAAGCTAAGAAATACTTGCTGAAAAGTCCAAGTGACATTAATAAGACTTGAGATGGGAGTATGAGGGTCATGGTTGGCTCGAACCTTACCAGTAAAGAGATCAATATCATGATTTAGAGTTCGCGCCCCCGGAACTTATGCATGAGCGTAACCCTGTTCTGGAACGCAGCTGTCATGAATTAATATATCCAAGACATCTCTGTGCCTCAATTAATAACACATAGCATAGTCAGCCAAGGCTACATCCAGGGCTTCATAAAAATTGCTTGACTTAAGTTGTATTGAGTTATATGTCTGTAAAGTAAAATGATTGTCGTATGACTATATACAGATGCAAGGCTTCAATTCAGGCTATAGTACAACTGGTAATGATTATTCTTACCTGGTTCTTTGATCCAAATGTATAATTACAATTAAATTGAAGAGTCCCTGGTACTCTAAATGTAGAATCTTGAATTCATCGAAGTGTTAGCTGTCATTTATATCATCAAAACCATCCAAAAGTTCCTTTTCGAGTTCGTCTAAGTCTACTTCATCTTCATCATCGGATGGGTGCTTTTGCTTTTTAGACACATGCATATCCAAATCATGATTTTGTTTTTCTTCTTCTTCTTCTTCTTCTTCTTCTTCTTCTTCTTCTTCTTCTTCTTCTTCTTCGTCAACATTGTCATCATTGTCATCATCAAGAGCCTTTCTTTTTTTAGAGACCAGTTTGTATGCGTCTTTCACAAATGAATCGTACAGATTGGTACCATTTACATTTGGGCTATCGTGGATTTCATTCTCGTCGTCCTCATCTTCTTCTGCAATTACAGCAATGTTTTCGTCTTCTTCTCCATCACTTACGTCGGCTAGGAAGTCGTCAACTTCTTGGTTAGCTTCCTCAAGATCATAATCTTCAAGCGAACTAATAGAATTGAATCTTGGTCTCTGCATAAAAGTAGAAGATTGGGTCTCTTTTCTGTTACGTAAAGCATTTTGGTATTTTTTAATGTCTTTTTCATCCACATACCAGTCTCGATCGTTGCCCTCGATTAAATATTCCGTCTCGTCGACTTTGGACCATGAGCTTAAACAGGCAAAGAGCCAGTCTGGGTTAACTATTTTAACACCTGGCAAAGATTTCCTAGCAACTCGAACTTTGAAAGTGGGCCCGGCTCCATTTACGGGTTCTCTACAAATCACATGGGTGACGCTTTCTTCCACTTCATTTACAACCTTGACCCCGAACTGCTTACACCAAATGACAATATCTGCAGAGTCAATATTGATTCCTAAGGGTAATATTCCCGAGAATAATATCGTAACATCTTTCAAGCATTCGCTTTTTAGTGAAGGGATAATTTTTGTAAGATCAGGTTTATTGTGAAACCCATTAGATGTGTCTTGTTCAAGCATCTTGTAGTATTCTTCGTGTATTCTTCCCAAAGCCTTGTTGAGCGAGAAAAGTTCATTATCATCATCATATAACAAATTTTCGTCTTCATCATCATCAGCGCTTTCATCAGCAGACTGCGTACCGCCTTCATGATGATGCATCTTCTGTAAATTATGCTGCAATTTTGCCAAGGGGCGATCATGTTGCTGTTGTTCAATTGAGAGGTTCCTCGTGATAGATTGTTCCATAAGCAAATTTGTATTACCTTCTCCTCCACCTAGTTCAAGTATTCGGTCAACAGGAGATGATGGTTCCGGCAGCTCAGAAGATTCCGTTTCAGGATCAGGTAACTGCTCCTCCTCGTCATTTTTTTCAGAAGTTTCTTCTTGTTCTAATTGTGCAATTGATTTCCTTTTCTTGATTGGGCCAGTTAGTTGACCATTTTTCCTGGGTAAAAAACTTGAGTTGATATCGCCAATCCCAACGAAGAAATCGTAAGGTACTACTTTGATTAAGTTGCTTTCCCACTGCCAAACGTCGCCCCTATCATCAATTATTGCTACCATGGATTGGTCAACAGGGAAGAGTCTCTTCAAATTCTTATGAGTTAATGATCCACTTTCATCTCTACTTAGTATACGGTCCCCAAAATATTTTGCATCGGGATCTATTATTTTGGCAATTGCAAGTGCATAGTTTCTTGTTGCCATCGTATATATGTGAAGCTCATATTTTTGCGATACCAGTTGTAAAAATTCTTCCAACCCCGGTCTTACTTTCACGTAATACCAACATTTGGTTGGTGCTAATTTAGGTCCATTCCAGCCCGGTGGTGTTATTGGCTCCTCCTCCAAGCAAAATGATTTAACATCTTTCACAGCTGGATAGTTAGGATTTGAAGGATCCAGTTGCCATTCACCGACAGTTGGATCAACAGTAGCATGTATCACAGTTTGATCAAGATCAACTACCAAAATCAACTTTTTTTCTCCTGTTAGCCTTTCAGTTGTATTCTGTTCAATTTTCGTAGCCTCTTCTAAACTGATTTTCAATCCATCATTATCATGAGACATATTAATCGTGGCACGATCTTCATAATTATAGCCAGAATAATCTTTTTCATCCTCTATAGCTTTACCACATAACGCGCATAGTCCACCATATTGTACAGCATGGGCACATGGTTCTTTGATGTAGCAAACCTCAACACCACTATGAGGAATTTCTTGGTTTATAGAGACATTAACTTTCTCAATCTCGCCTTCTACTGGGCTCTCGTAAGTGCCTATACGCTCCACTCTTATTTTCGGAGGGACTTCATCTTTGGAATTAGGGTCATCTTGGTAGTCCCAGTATTTAAATTTGAAAATTGTTTCATGTTTGTTAACATTTTGTCCCACTTTACAAAGTATAGATGAAATCTTCACAGGAAAAGGGACAGACTTTCCTAAGGTAATTGCAGTTAACTCAGCCATCGCGTAATATCTGGTGAATTACTGTCTTGCAGTTGTTTAAATCTTATTAAACTTTATCACTACTAGCGACTTGAAAATGTACAAGTATTTCTGGAATTTCCTCCCAAGTTGAATTGGCAATTTGTCTGTTAAAATATGTTATCTAATTGATGCTCTTCTTTAGTCTTGTATATCTATGTTTATTTCACGATTAGGAGGATTGTGAAAGATGATGCGAGACAATATTCGATGTCACATGACTGATATCAAAATTATGTCTTGTGAAGTTTGCTTTTAGCAGCACTGTTAATAATATTCGAAATGGAAATATTGGAATTTTTGGCCGATAGTCATTGTCACATCAGTGCAGACTCTAGTAATGATAGAATTGAACGCGCATTGGCTACTTGGGATACAAATTATGCCCATAGGAGTGCATTTTACCACATGATGACTACGAACCATAGAGATATTCACTTCGTCCAAACGATAATAGAGCATATGGGTGATAATGTATTACCCTATTTCGGCATTCATCCATGGTATTCGCATCTCTTCAGTACAGCTGGGACGTACTCTGCTTCTAGCGATGATTTTAAGAGGCAGCATTATATAGATGTTTTAAGTCCAGCTCCAACGGAAGAGTTGTTGAACGTGCTACCGCATCCAATTTGCATGAATGAACACTTGAAATTGATGGAAAAGCTTTCTATGAAATATGATAATTCAGGTATCGGAGAGATAGGCTTGGATAAGTTATTTAGAGTACCTTCGAACGGCTTCTTCGGAAATATTGAAGTCGCTAATAATGGACTTAACAAACTAAGCTCTTGCAAGGTAAGCATAGTCCATCAGACAAAGATTTTGGAATTACAACTTGACTTAGCTAATAAGCTAAAGAGACAAGTATCTTTACATTGCGTAAAGTCTCATGGACCTTTATTTGATAAGGTAACAAATTATAAGACTATTCCAGCAGTCATTTTGCATTCATATAGTGGATCTACAGAGCATGCAAAAGTATGGATTAACTTTTACAGGAAGAGTAATCAAAAGCTATTTTTTTCTTTTTCTAATTACATCAACGGAGAAAAAAGGCTAAATGATTTGACCACTCTTTTGTCATTGTTAAAAGATGAACAAATTTTAATTGAAACTGATTTTGGGGTTGATATCTATTTTGCTGATGGAAAACAAGACCAATATTATGACGACTTAGTAGATATATTTAATAAAATTTGTGAATCCAAGAAATGGGGTCAAAACTATGGGAAAGAGGTAATATTCAAAAATGTGGAAAGGTCGTTCGATCATAAAACTCTTACATAGAATTATAATTTCATTTTCATATTTATTCGATTGGTAAGATAAGTTAAACAAGCGACTTGCTGTTAAGGCATTCTACAATCTCGATTTGATAATGTCGACAAACTCTGGTTTCAAAGAAGCACCACCGACTAAAAAGCCATCAACATCTGGTTTGTCCTTGAATTCAGAAGCGTTTTTACCATTGACTGAACCACCATATAAAATTCTAATTTCAGAGGCTGCCTTCTCGCCAATGGTCTTGGCCAAGTGAGCCCTGATACCCTTGTGGGTTTCCTGTGCATCATCAGGAGTTGCAGCCAAACCTGTACCAATTGCCCAGACAGGTTCATAAGCTACAACTATATGGGACCAGTCAGACACTATCTTGGATACAGCATCCAATTGTCTGGCACAAACATCAAGTGTAACACCAGATTTACGTTCTTCTAATGTTTCGCCGATACACAAGATTACTGATAAACCTTGTTCTAAAGCGAACTTTGTCTTCTCTGCAATAAATTGATCGGATTCTTTAATAATAGTTCTTCTTTCTGAATGTCCAGTCAAAGTCCAAGTTGCACCCAAGTCTTTGACCTGATCTGGAGAAATTTCACCTGTGTATGCACCAGATGCCTTGTCGAACACATTCTGAGCAGAAATCTGAACAGTAGGTTGCTTGTTTTCTTCGACTGCTAAGGCAATGTATGGTGCTGGTGGAGCAATGACAACCTCAACATTTTTTGGCAAATCAGCCTTATTCAAGTTGTCTACAATCTTAGTGACGGACTCCTTGGTACCGTTCATCTTGAAATTTCCACCCACGAAAAATTGACGAGCCATGTTTGATATGTTATATTTAATTCCGATATATTTATCTTCAAGAGAAAAAAAATAGTTTAGCAATTGAAGATATTTGATTTATATAATTACGGATTGCTAGAATCGACATAGGGAAGGTCCATAGGGACGACCATTTTCCGAGGTCCAATACCCCGGCATTTTCTAATGTCGTTACGTATGTCGTCCTATATGTCGCGATAAGTAACCAATCAGGACACATGACTACGATTAGGACCACGGGAACTCAGTTACAACAAGAAGTACTTGATAGGTTAAAAGTCATATAATTATCATAGCTCTCAAAGCTATATGACAATTGAATGTATATAGGTTACCCTTTCACACCAAATTTAGAAAAGAATCTAATTAAATATTAATCTGCCAAGCGCTTTAATCAACAAAAAAGCTTTCCCGGCTATTTACGTCACTACTGAGAGCACTTTGATTATCATTTTCAAATTTGTCGATAGCCAATTCATTAGGCTCCCTCGACTTTCCTGCCAAATGGAAGAAGGTCTCTTTAATCCTTTTATCCTTGTCCCTCGTAGATTTAATGGCATCCTTTTGAGCACGCAAAACGCCACTTATATCAAGATCATCCATGTTCGCAAGCTTGTTCTTAGTGTTAAATGTTACTTCGTCGCCGATCTCTCTTTCCACCTCTTCATCTATATCGCCATCCAGTAAATCATCCCATGTCTTCAAAGGAGTCTTTAGATGAAACTTTCCATTTCCTTCTCTCTTCATAATTAAATATTGACAATGAGGTATGTTTCTTAAAGACTCGAACTCTTCATAGCTCCATCTAAACCACTTCATTAAAAACACCCTGGCCCAAATTCCATGGGTGACTAGCACCAAAATGTTTGGGAAGTCTTCAGAGCGAAATTGTCTATAGAGCGTTTCGTTGAAACTTGAAATTCTATCATAAACATCAGCTGCACTTTCTCCGTGCGGTATCCTATAAAAAAAATGACCATAATGAGCTCTCTCTTCCCATATTTGTTCCATTTCTTCCGGCGTGCTTTGGAAATTTCCGAAATCTTGCTCCCTCATTTTGGGCTCCTCCCGAACACTATAGCTTACACCTGGTAGGTTCTTTATTCCCTTGATTATGTCATTGCATGTTTGCCTTGCTCTTGTGTATGGCGAAGTGTAAAAGAGTATAGATCTGGCATTTTCACACTTACCCTTATAAAGATGTTCTTGCAGTAAGAATTCACGTAAAACTAAACCAGCAGCCTTTGCCTGCGAGTGTCCTGTTTCTGTCAAGGCAACTCTGTGGTTTGGGGTATATCTATTCACTGTTTTGTCACAGTTTCCTTCTGACTCACCATGTCTAACTAGTAATATATACTACGTATGATTAGTACTTTGATATCAAAGAAAATATGTGCTTCGAAAACAAATAGCTTCAGAACAATTCTGATTTATACTTACCTTCGGCTTACCCATATCAGAGCTTTATTTCGTATTGATATATTTATCTTGCTCTGAGCCACAACTGAGAAGAAATTAATGATACATCTCGATACCTATATATCAATCCCTTAATGTTATGCAGGATGGAAACTAATCAGTATTTTTATCATTTATCAAAACCTACGTAAATATAAAAAAGGCGGATTCTATTTATCAGCCAACAATTTTCGCTCTATAGCAAAACTATTCGTTAACTCCTCTTCACATCTTTTCAAGATATCATCGGCCAATATATCGATAGCATGGCTATGAAGCATATTGTTATATCTTGAAGGTTCTGTCGGCAACTTGAAAATTGATTGCCACTCAGTAGTATCAAGTTCACTTTCACCATTCTTGACTCTCTCCAAGTTTTGGAATTTCCTCTGCTGCTTCCATTGGGCGATCTTAGACTGCTCTTTCTGATGCAAACGCTGGTAGTAATTGAAATTAGTTTGATCGTAGTTATAAGCATCAATTTGACCATACAATGACTCCAATAACTGAGTGGTCACATTCTGATTAGCAGATAAATTAAAAATATCATAATCACTTTCCGGAAGACTATTGCACGTATTCGAAGTCAAATATACATTGACTAAACTGTGATTTTGGATTATAAGGGGAACATCCTCAAATATATTAAAAAAAGATAATTTGTGATTCTCAAGGTCCTTTGATTTCCACTTCCCATCCAAGTAAGTGCTGACAAAGTTTTCTGTTAATCTGAAGGCCTTTAAATCCAATTCTTTACTAATAGAAGCCATTTTATGAATCAAAATGAATGCATTCTTATTGCTTAATTGTTGTTGGACTAAAGCATCAACCAAATGGCTAGTGACAAAGTTTCCTGTAACTGTAGACTGAAACCATCCTTGAAATTCAAGCCCATAGCCTAATTTTTTCAATGCCTCTAATATATCCTGTTGGTATTTAGCGCCACTTCTTGATCTTAAAGATCCACCTTCATATTGATCTGGGTATGTGAATGGGAATGTGTGAGAAATATCTATAGATCCTTTATCATCTTCAAATCCTAATAACGATCCTGAGCATAATGCTGGGTAATTATCTGAAGTATGTCTAATCAAAGACAATAAGGCGCTCGATTCTATCTCAATAGAAGTGGCAGTCGGTGGTTGGTAAACTCTTCTATCTTATGTTAGTACTCCTCTTATTATAATCAATAGACATAAACCTTAATGAGCCTTATTTAATATTGAAGTCCCCATGTTATACATGCCTATTATAACTCAAATTTTCAAAACATGAATCATTTGGGCTAAAGGTTACTCAAATACTTACGATTGTTTGGATGCCATATTTCAAGATATATGCCGATATGTTAAATAGAATCTATTAAACCTTACTTCACCTTTAAAATAGGCTCAACGAATTTGAAAAAAAAAAATAAATTGAATTAAAAAAAATGTATATTTTATTATGTAATTTTGAATGTATTCTTATGTAATTCTGTGACTCAGGAAGAGTACAAAAAAATAAAACAAAAATTTTTGAACTTCATGAACGTCAATTTGAAATTGTTGAATTGGCGTTGAGAAACAAATATCGAATATGTCTGAAGAAACTAATCAGGTCGCTGACCAGTTACAAAAGACTTACTTAGACGATGTCACAGGCGAGCAAGTTTCCAAAACTGAGTTGAAAAAGAGACAGAAGCAGAGACAAGTTAATGCTAAGAAAGCTGAGAAGGCTGCTAAAGCAGCAGCTTCTGCACCAAAAGTGTCCAAGAAGCAAGATCAGATGGCAGACTTGACTCCAAATCAATATTTTGAAATTAGATCTCGTCAAATTGATGAATTGAGAACTATTTCAAATGGTGATCTGAAAGCTTTTAATCCGTACCCCCATAAGTTTAACGTAACCACGAAATTGCCAGAATTTATTGAGAAGTATCAACACTTGAAGAAAGGTGAAACTTTACCGAATGATAAAGTAAACGTTTCTGGAAGAATTATGGTGAAGAGAGAAGCAGGCTCTAAATTGAAGTTTTATGTCTTGAAGGGAGATGGGGTTCAAGTACAAATTATGGCCCAAGCACAAGACGCACTGACTGCTGAAGAGTATGAGAAGATGCATGAATACTTGAGAAGGGGTGATATTATTGGCGTTACTGGTTATCCAGGAAGAACTAATCCAGCAAAAGGGGGTGAAGGTGAGCTTTCTGTCTTTGCTACCACTGTACAGTTATTGACCCCTTGCTTGCATATGTTGCCAACTGAACATTTCGGATTCAAAGACCAAGAAGCTAGGTATAGAAAGCGTTATTTGGATTTGATAATGAATGATTCGACAAGAGATCGTTTCAAGGTTAGATCAAAGATTATCTCATACATTAGAAGATTCTTTGATTCCAGGGACTTTACCGAAGTTGAGACTCCAATGATGAATGTTATTGCAGGTGGTGCAACTGCAAAACCATTTATTACTCATCACAATGACCTTGACTTAGATATGTTCATGAGAATTGCTCCAGAATTATTTTTGAAAGAGTTAGTTGTCGGAGGAATGGATAGAGTATATGAAATTGGTCGTCAATTTAGAAATGAAGGTATTGATATGACGCATAATCCAGAATTCACAACTTGTGAGTTTTATATGGCTTATGCAGATGTCTATGACTTGATGGATTTGACAGAATTGTTGTTTTCTGAAATGGTTAAAGAAATTACTGGTGATTACAAGGTTTCTTACCATCCAGATGGTCCAGAAGGTGAAGCTTTAACCCTTGATTTCTCAAGGCCGTGGAAAAGAATTAATATGATTGAAGAGTTGGAAAAGGTCTTCAATGTTAAGTTCCCTCCTGGAGCAGAACTACACACTGCAAAAACTGGTGAATTTTTGAAGAAAGTTTTAAAGGATAATAATTTAGAATGCTCCCCTCCATTGACGAATGCAAGAATGTTAGACAAATTAGTTGGTGAATTGGAAGACACCTCTATAAATCCAACGTTCATTTTCGGTCATCCTCAGATGATGTCTCCATTAGCTAAGAAGGACAGAAACCATCCGGGACTTTGTGAAAGATTTGAGGTATTTGTCGCTACCAAAGAAATTTGCAATGCTTATACCGAGTTGAATGATCCATTTGATCAAAGAGACAGATTTGAAGAGCAAGCCAGGCAAAAGGCCCAGGGAGACGATGAAGCTCAAATGATTGATGAAACATTCTGTAATGCTTTAGAGTATGGATTACCTCCTACTGCTGGTTGGGGATGTGGTATCGATAGACTTGCGATGTTTTTAACTGACACTAATACTATCAGAGAGGTCTTGTTATTCCCAACCTTAAAACCAGATGCAGACACTTTAATTAAAGTGGAACCAGAGAACTGATTCATATAATAGATTTCTATAATTTGCTCATTATTTTGTCATTGATATTGGTACTCTATCTAATATACAAATTTATATCTTATTAATGTCTCGCTAATTGTCCTTTACGTTTCATCTCTAATGCTTTTTTATATGGTGGTGCAGTAGGCATTTGAACAGGATCTAAAGCTAGTCTTTGGAAATCCTGATCTAAAGGATATGTTGCATCTGAATCAACGTTATTGATATCACCACAAGCGATGAACTTAGCTATCTTTCTTTCTTCCGTATCTACGGGATTGAAATATTCTAGATTTCCAAATTTCCCTATATCAGCCCCTTCAAAGAACTCTTCGGTAGATTCATTGGGTTTTAAAGTAGGGACCCAGCCCTCTCGAGGAGTATATCCAATACACACTATAAAAGCCTCTAAAGAAGTTCCCCTAGAAGCTCTTGGTTTTGCACATATTACTTTTTCAAATAAGTATCCTAGCTGGCTGTACAACAAGTCAATATCCCGTCCTCTGAAAATTTTCGCAACAAAAGTTCCACCAGGCTTTAAAACACAGATCGTCAACTGCAAAGCAGAAAGTATGAGCTGAGCTTGTATGTATTCGTCTAGATCATGTAAACCGGTGACATCTGGTGCGCCATCACTGCAAACGAAGTCAGCAGACTCTCCACCAAAAATATCAAGAATCTTTTGTAAAGTTTTCGGATGAGTGATATCTGCTTGGATAGTCGTAACTCCATCTATGGGAGTCATGGGCTGTAAATCCACTGCGACGATTTTTGCGCTTTTATTTTGACGCTTTTCTATTATCTCTTTACTTAAAACTTGAGACCAGGACCCAGGAGCAGCACACAAATCGACGACTCTTTCAATTCCATCAAAGAGGTTAAATTGTTCATTTAATTGTAAAAGTTTAAATGCAGACCTCGCTCTCCATCCCTCTTCTTTTGCTCTTCGGTAATAAAGATCTCTCTTGTCCTTACTAGACTTCCCCATCTCACCTGTTACTTTGTTAAGTATTCAGTCTTCAAAAACTGATGAGATGTTTGACTTTTATTTTCCGGTATGGAACAGCTTTGTGCAAAATTTTCGAATACTCCCAAAAACCTTTAATGAGAAGTATTTATCGAATAAAAGCAGGTTTGTCAAATCCCATTAATGATGTTATCTCGTCTGATAAAGAGATCACATTTGTGGTCTCGGTCCTTGACTCATAGCTCGACTCTTTTGAATGAAAAATTCTTGTCTCCTGATGAATACATAAACAAGAAGCATACTGAGGATGTAAAAGAAGAAATATACAGAGACAATCTTTTGGGCGAAGAATTCAAATACGATCCCAAGTTTATAAGCGAGAATAAGGCAGATCCTTCTCTGAAGAGACCAATACCCATAAATGTTGAACTTTTGAAGTATAAGCCTTTAAAACTTGCAAAGACCCATGGACATGAAGTTGCTAGAGTCAACTTCAGGGGGTACGACGTTGAAGATATCACAAGAGCTGCTGAATTTGCTTGCAGGGCTGCATTTTACATAGGTATTCCCACTTCCCTGGTCATACCTAAAAAGACTGAGAAAAGATTATATACTGTTATCAAATCACCTTTCGCTCAAGCTAAGTCGAAAGAGAATTTCATGAGGACGACATTCCACAAACAGTTAAATGCTTATGATGCAACTCCTGAAGTTGTCGACTTGTGGCTCTCATTCGTCAATAAGCATGCAATCGAAGGTGTTCAGTATCTGGCTACGATTACTACTAGAGAATCACTAGACTTTAGCAGACAGTTAGATGACATGTCAAGCAATGAAATTAAATTGTCTGAATCCTATCAAGGTACTGATGATCCGATTACTGCGAAAGTTGAAGAATTACTCAAGTCTGACACTTTCAAGAAATATCTCGATGCTAAAGACTAATTCTATTATACATACATATACACATATAATTCCAAGCTGTACATAGCTCGATCTATAAATATTGAACAAATTATCCATATACATCCCAGTCGCCTTCTTCCTCCTCTGAATCCTCTTCTTTAGCAATTCTTAGTTCCTCTTCTAACCTCTCTCTTCTCTTCTTGTCAGCCTCTTGCACGTCAAATCTACAAATGGGACACGTAGAATTAACCTTTAGCCAAGGACCCACACATTCCAAGTCAAATATGTGGCCACCAGTTTTTTTAGAGGTTTGTACATGACATGGCAATCTCACTATTAAAGGGTATTCGTCGTCTGAAAATCTGTTTGTGCAAATAGGGCATTCAGCATTTTCCCCATCTGGTAGGTCCTTCACTGAAACTCTTTCCAAGGAATCTAAATACTCTCCAGTTACTCCCTTACTCTTCTCTGTCAAGGAAAACAGATTTGGATCTTGTTCCTCCAACGATTGCATGAGCTCAAAAGCCAATGTAGACCCTTCTTGCGTACTCATTTGCCTCAATGCACTTGTGAACGCTTCTCTGTTCCTATCTGCGCTTTGAGTAACATCCTGTGTCAAGAAGGAGTCGATTATGGATCCCAAAGTTTGATGTTGTCTTGGCCTTTGATCCCTTGCGCCATTTTGTCTCAAATTGTGATCATCTATAATAGAATGAAGTTAGTATAATACTTTAACTAGTCATATTATGACCGTCTTTCTAGAAAGCTTACCTTCGTACGTTGACATTTCGTTATGATATAGATACTTGACTTGAGATATAGAAGTACGCCTCCAGATTTTGTTCGAGACATCCCGATGATGTTTCGAGGTGTTGCATACTACAGAACGGTTTTACAGTATTCAAATAGATATGTATAGATTAATTCGAAATTAGAATGAAAAAAGGAATCTTTTCATTTTCATTTAAGCTTCATTTCCGTCTTCTTTTAGCTGGTTAACCTGAAAAGCAAGATTAGTTTTTATGAAAGAAATATGTCTTTTCTCTTACTATTTTTGCTGCTTAATATCTTCTTGACTTCACCTAATATAATAATATCGCTGTAGTTTTTACTATGTTTCTTCATCAGACTCTTGTTCATCTTTTTCCTCCTCAATCTGAGAAGTTGAAAAGTCTCCAAAATAAGATTCAGGTTGGTTGGCTCCATTAAGATACAATGGAGTCATCGGGGGATCCTCGCAAGGTGTCATGACAGGATTTAGTATTGGAGAATAATTTCCATCTCTTTTTGCAGCTGTTGTATAGTTAGCATTAGAGGTGCCATAGGTAGGCTGTGGAGCTAAAGGTAATTGAACTTGTTGTGATACTTGTTGTGGTGTTTGTTGTGATAACACTTGTGGCTGCAGCATTTGAAATAGGTGAGTACGAGAATTTCGACTCCATGAATTAGCTAAAGATCGAGGGGGTGTCTGTGAAGATAGCCAAAACCTAGAAGGAGAACCGCCTATTGATGTAGGATCCAAACTGGGCGAGTCTGGGATGTTACTAAGTTTGGTATTTATCGGAATGCTTTGAGACGTCGAATGATACACCATTTCAGAAGGAGTATTCTCAGGAGGAGGAGATGTGAACTTGTGATACGGCTGCAACCGCTTTTGATTTAAATGCTTAACTGAATGTCTTCCTATGATATTAGTGTATGAGTTTTTACGATCAACAAATGCTGCTTTGTTTCCTATGTTTGAATTATTGATAATGGCCCTAACTGCCAGTGCTTGGTTTCCTGAATTATTCACAGGTAAAGAAATCGAATCACTGTCATTCATCTGGGTATTTAACGAAAGCAATGATATTGTGGACGATGAAGGAATAAGTCTACCATCCATCTCTTTGCCAACTGAGCTCGCCAATAGTTCAGGCTCGGGATGCTCGTCTTTTAGACTTTCTTCTACGTCCATACCATTGTCTTCTAATGAAAAAGAAGCCTGCTTGGAGTCATTCGTGGCACCCTTGCTTGAATTAGAGTTGCCTCCCTGTGTGCTGCCGAAAGCACCAGCACCGTTGTCCATCCGTATTTGACGTTCTTCTGCTAGTGATGAGGATAACAAAGATGTTTTTGGTTTTTGCGTATAGTCAGTGGTGTATGATACATCACTACCGCTGAAACCCTTCACAGTTCCGCCACGAGAAGACCCCAGACCACTACCAGCTTGTCCAGGATGATCTCCGATCGATAAGTTATCCAACTTTTTATCTAGATGTTCTTTGTTGTATGACATTATGGGCATCCTACCGGGGATTTCACCAATCATATCCTTTTGTTGTCAATTAGCAATCAAATATGTCAAAAAAAGGTGCTTTCTTGATACGCTTATCCCTTCTCTGGCAATATGATGCTTTCTCTTACGTCTTATATGCTATTTTAATAAGGCTGTCGATTTATTGGACACCTAGTTGGTGATGATTATCCTTAGTCAAATTTTCTTTATCTGTCTGTTCATTTTGCTCGAGATTCATAAAAAAAAAAAAAAAAAAAAAATAAACTACG